TATTCTCGGTTTGCACATGACGTCATCAGTCGAAAAAAATTCTAAAATCACAGACACACAACATTACAGTACTGAAATACCTTGAAGAGCATGATAGAAGTTCTCTCTGAAAGTTTCAACTTTTTTTGCTGTTTATTCGTTGAGTTATTCACGTTCAAAAATATGTCACGCAATACTGTCACGCGACTTGAAACACGCCAAATTAACCTCGGAAAGCCTATTAATCTTAAAACAAGTATAGCCTCAGCATTAAATTAAATTTTTAGAATGATATTGTTTGAAAACTTAAGCAAAATCATAAGTTTTGAGCTCATTTCGACACTCGGAGTTACTGTCGGCGTGGTTGGTGTACTGGACTTGTACACCATTAGGGCTTTCCCATACATTCCCTTGTAAAGTAAGACCGCATTCAAACGCTTATATTTTTGCTACAAAATGGCAGTTTGACTTCAAATTTTGCATAACTGTTGGGAATTATATGCTGTTTTTGGCCTTGAACATAAAAAATTCATTTCGATCTTAAAACAAAGTCTTTTGTAGGTATTTCTTGACCTGGCTAAAACGCATTGAGCCGTGATAATCCCATACATTCTTACCAATTTTCGATCGCTCGTATTTCTGTTAAAAAGCATTATTTTGGCTCAAAAGTTCGTGATGATACTTTAAATTAAATGTTCTATCGAGGACAATAATAACATTTCGCTAATTTGGCTTCTAAATAGCACTTTTAGAATGTCACGTGATTAGTGCAAACCAAGAATTCTATTAGTATCCAACAAACTAAAGCAAATCTTGTAAAAAGAACCACATTAAAAGAACAACTTTTTCTTGTTTCATTCAATGTGATCATGGTATAACATGAATATACCATAGTTCAGTAGCCAATCGGAATGCTGGATTTGTGATAGACCATTGAAGGTTTTCAGCTATATATTCCAACGAGATTTCGAAGACAAAAGACCGGCGGCCATGTTGGAGGAATGAACGATACTAATGAGAAATCCCTTGTGGAAGTTCCTCGAAGATGGCCGCTGTGACGTATGTACAGTAAAAATGAAGAAGAGTTGGGTGGACACTAATATATTGTATTTATCATATTCGTGAAATAAATTGCTTTAACAAGAGACTTCTGAAGGATTATGTCGCCTACTTAACTTGCAATGCATTGAGCAATCAAGTCATCATGCAGTGAGTGGGATGTACTCCCTCTCGATTTATACTATTCACTTAAGATACGCTGCCTGATCGTGATTTTATACTTGTTAAATATTCGCATACTATTTGGAAATTTTGCCGTCCCTCCCCTCCCCCAAGGAAATTATAGATAACATCTCAAGGCTTTATCAGTGTGACGGTGCTGGGCGTGTTGGGAGGGACAGAGCTGCCATGTAACCGCTGTGCCCCTTTTAAACTCGCTTTCACCTACAACCCAACACTGGGAAAAAACTCGCACTTTAAAGGTTGTAAATTTGATGTAAATATGATGTAATTGTCCAAAATGATGTAAATTTGGTGTAAAAGACATCAAATTTACAACCTTTTAAAGTGAGCAATTTTTTCCAGTGAAAACACCAACGTCGCCCAAGCTCATCCACTGGTGATGACTTTCTTCTAGTARTTTTAGATCTAGTGACTYGACGGAAATTTCCTATGGCATGTTTTGTGCATTGTGTACAATAAATATCGTGAGACTCCCCAAAGATTATCCTATTTTCTACAACTATTTCAAACACAAAAATTTCTGACTTTGTGCTTCATTACCAAGTGTAGGTGAGTTGCTTTCATTAACCCGTGAAACACACTTTAACTCGTTAAAGTAATTACTCATTTCTTTGCACGTTTTTCTTTGTGTG